CTCGCTTTCTCTGACAAGGCTATGAGCAAGGAGCAGGAGGAGGCCTGAGCCCTGCGGTGGAGGGAGTGGGCATCTCGGGCGGGGAGAGTTGGGCACAGGGTGCATACATCGCCTGGGGCCCGCGGTGATGACTGCACACTGACGTTTGTTTTCTTCAGACAGTTTTCAGATGTTGTTCCTCTGAGGAAGCTTTGTTAGCTTCCGGGCCTGCGTTTGTGAGTTAGCTGCCACGTGACCGGTGCGGACCCAGTTCCGGGGGAGCCTTACCCTGTGGGTTTGACACCGGAGCGGACGGCGGCGTCGGGGTGGGGAGCGCGGAGGTGGGCGCGTGTAGGCGGTCAGCTGGGTGGCATGAAGCATGGACAGCGGAGACCCAGCGCCTGCCTGTACCCCTCCCTGTGTTACTCAATAAAATAAAGCATGGACACGTCTGTGCTTCGCGTGGGCTGTTCGGGGAGGAGAGACGCGTGCAGGGGAGCCCGGTCCCCTCCTACCAACCCGGGGTGACCTGCTTGTGGGAGCTCATTTCCTTGGCACCGGGTGGCAAGGGGCGATCACACCGTGGGGCCCAAAGGCCTGGGCGGGGCCTGCATCCCACTGCAGACGTGTCCCCACAGAACAGCCCCTCCCAGTCCTCCTCTGCCCCCTTGCCCTCCTGTGCCACTCTGGGGCCTGGACACCGCCCTCCCTCCTTGGCAGGACCCTGCACACACTCGTGCCCCGGCCCGACCCTCAGAGGCCTGCCCTGCAGACGCCCTGCCCCTTCGGCCCGGGCAAGGGCTGCCACACTGATGTGACTCGGGGTTGCCCTCCTGGAGACCTCCGTGCAGTGTCAAGGGCGCCCGAGGCCTCCGGCTCTTCCGTGGGCCCGTCCGTCCCGGGACGCACACAGGGCACGCGCGGGCCGCTGTGCCTGGAGGCAGCTGGGCGGCCACCGGGGGCGCCCAGTCCTGTGGCGGGTGGAGACGCCCGAAAGGAAGGGCAGCTCCCGACCTGAGCTGGCAGACGGGTGGAAGGGAAGCGGGGAGGGTGCTGCGTGCGCCCCGCCAGTGGGCCCGGACCCGGCCTATTTTCGCACATGCCTGGAGCTCAGAGCCGGCACTCGAGAGCACCCCCAAGGCGCGTGTGCTTCACCTGCCTCCCTGCCTGCGGGCTCCCGACCCACCCTGCCAGCAACACAGTGAAGGGCGGGGCCCGGCAGTGGGCAGCAGCTGCAGGACGTGTACCCCCATGGGTCATTGTCACCTCTGTCCTCCATGGCGAGGAAGGCCATGACTTGGGTTGTGCAGGGCCAGAGAGCAGGACTCTGCCATCTGGGGGGGGTCCCACCCAGCTGGAAGAGACCAAGTGGGAAAGGGGTGGACAGCGGGCTGCCCACCTCGGCTAGGTCAGCCAGCCGGCCGGGACCAGCGTCCTCCGGGAGAGAGAGGCACCCAGGGCCCATCCGCCCCGGGTGGCCCTCGTGCCGCCCAAGCTGGGGCCGGCCAGGCCCTGTGCCCCCGGGCAAAGCAGGGGCCAGCTAGCGGACTCCCCCGACTCGGGGTGGGGTGGCGCGGCCTTGTGCTTTTGCATTCCTTCCTGGCCTGGCAGGAAGCAGCGCGCCTGCCAGCGGACTGGGCCCTTGGGCAGGCACTGCGCTGCCACCTTTCTCTGTGTTGGGGAACACAGAGAGGCTGGGGGCACGGCCACGCCCCCCCATATTTCAGGGTCTCCCCATCCTGGTTGGGAGCTCCCGCTGTGATGTCACAGGTGGGGGAGGTCTCACGTAGCTGGTTGCTGCCCAACGGAGATTCTAGAACTGTGGGGACAGCATATATTGGCGGCCCGCCCGGGCAGAGGACATTCCCGCCTGGGAGCGCCCCTAGGGGACTAGCCCTATGGCTGACTGGAGTGCTGATGAGATGCAGCTTCAGCTGGCCTCCGCAGAGGACCCGGGGCCCCTGGGGCCCTGTCACGCATGCCCCCAGCCCGAAGGGGCCTCAGGGGAGGTGGCAGAGATGGATGGGGACCCAGACGGGGGACCAGATCCTGGGTCCCAAGACGAGACCCAGGCCCAGGCCCCGGCCCCAGGCGCCACCCACCTGGGTGAAGCCGTCCTGGGGCTCCCTTTCCCGAGGAAGCTTTGGATGATGGTGGAGGACGACAGCCTGGAGTCCGTGCGCTGGGGCGACTGCGGGGACACCGTGGTCATCGAGAAGAGCCTCTTCAAGACCGAGGTCCTTCAGCGCAGCGGCCCGGACAGAATCTTCGAGTCGGACAGCCTGAAGAGCTTCACCAGGCAGCTGCACCTCCACGGATTCAGCAAAATCCGCTCACCGAAGGACAAGGGGATGGTGGTAAAGTACCGGCCCGCGGCCCCCCTCCCCTCCCCCCCCCACCCACGGTCCTGCCATGGGGCAGGCACTGCGCCGCCACCTTTCTCTAGTTGGGGTGGGTGGCGGGGACAAACAGCGGTCCGGGCCCTCTGGTAGACTAGGAGGAGCTGTAGCCCGGGAGACCTGGGTTTCCACCCTGTGTGGGTGGCGCCTTAGGGAAAGGGAAGCTCGGGGACCCTGGCGCCCTCCACCCAAACGCGCCCTCAGGGGCACCGCCCTGGCCATGGGGAGCCTGTGGCCTGGGCCTGGGCCCCTGCGGCCAGGCAGCTGCTGGTCAGCCCCTCCCAGGATCTGCTCTCCAGAGCAAAGCAGGCCCTGAGGGAGGGGCGGGGCGAACTGTGTCCCAGGCAGTGTGCCCTTTCTCCCCAGATCTACCGCAGCAGCCGCTTCCTGAGAGACCAGCCCGAGCTCCTGGACAGCATTGAGGGCAAAGGCAGCCAGAGAAGGGCGGCGCGCCAGGGGCCCCGCACGCCAGCGCCAAAGCGGCAGCGGCAGGAGGCGGCTACGCGACGCTCCCTGCGACTCCTCCAACTTCATGCCAACAGGGAGGCCAGGGAGGAGGCCCAGGAGGCCCCGGCCGCTCAGGCTGCTGAGGGCGCCCAGTCAGCACTCTCCGGGGTCTTCTGGCCCTTGAGCAGTGAGGCGGGGAGCCCCGAGGAAGGCTGCTGCCCCAGCAGCCCCAGCGGGGAGCTGAGGTCCGGGGACGACTCCTTCGGGCCCTGGGCCTCTGCTGAGGAGGAGGGCGAGGACCAGCTGCCCGGCAGCCCCCCGCCCTCCCCCGACTACGCGTCCGTGCTGGCTCTGTACAACACCTGCTACTCCATCCTGCTGGCCGCGCTGTCCGTCATGGCCCCCAACGAGGAGGAGTCCAACGGGGAAGAAGAGCCCGACGGGGGAGAAGAGCAGGACGGCGCCTCTGTGTCTAACTGCGCGCTCTGCGAGCAGTTCAAGGACAACCCGCACCCCTGACTGCCCAGCCACCGGTGACCCGAAACGGGGGCCGCTTACTAACCGTGAATCTTTTGGTTTTAATAAAGAGATGCCAAGTCTCGGGGAGCAATAAAGAGATTCAGCAGCATCGCGAGTCTGTGCCTTTCTGACCTCGTCCTGCGCACGCCCCTGCCCGGACCCGGGAGCGGGGAGCCGGGAGCCGGGAGCCGGGAGCCGGCAGCAGGCCCCACAAGCCTGCCAGCCCGTGTGCTTGCCAGGGCAGCAGCTGGGGGCCCCCCTCCGCCTGGGTGCTCAAGTGGCAGAGTCTCTCGCGGGGGAGGGGAGAGGATGCCAGGAACTTGAGACCGGACGGTGCCCGGAGCCCCAGGCCCAGACCAGGGCCTGGAGCAGGCCCGCCTCCAACTGGCATCTCCCTGCCGCCCACGCCCACGGGAGACGGGCCCCCAGCAGCACCGGAGGAAGGCCTTCGTGCCACAGTCCACACCCACGAGAAACCTGGCTCCGCAAGGACCCGCAGCGCTGGGCTGGGGGGCCTGCCCACAGGCGGGCGGCAGTGTGCCAGGCAGTGAACACACAGGCTTCGGGCGCAGGCCCAGTGATGACAGCAGCGTCATGGGGACAGACGGGCCTCCGTCTCGAGGGCCGCTGTCCTGTCCTTCGGGGAGGAGGCCGGCCGGGCCGTCCCTCTCGGGCCCTGGCTCAGCGTCACCGCCAGGTTCTCCACCAGGTCCCCCGCCGCCGTCCTCTCAGACACCTCTGTTGGTACCACCCGGACACGGGGACCAGAGTTGGGGCCACTCCCGGACAAGGGCTGGCCCTGCCTCTTCCTCCAAGCCCCAGCCTGGAAGCCAGGCAAGGAGCACAGGGAGGCCTCACCGAGGACCCGCTCCCTCGCCCCTGCGCCTGCGCCCGGGGCGGGGCCTGGCACGTGACCACTCTCGGGGTGGCTCTCTGCAGCCGCGGAGACCACGCAGCATGATGGCGTCTGGCCGGTGTCAGTGTTTGGCTGGGCGTCTGCCCCTCCTCTCGGGAGCGCTCTCCTCAGGCCTCCTGCCCTGGAGGCCGGCGGGGATCAGGCGCTCGGGGATGTCCACCTGGAAGACGCCCTTGGCGCCGGGCCTCGGGACGGGTTCCAGCAGCCAGCGGGGGTTGGAAAGTGCTGTCAGGTACTTCTGCTCCAGGCCGCTCAGGGCGGCCTGACATTCCAGCTCCAGCAGCTCGGAGGGAGCCAAGGTTTCTGGGCACAGCCACGTCTCCCCAACATCGACGAGGCCTGTACACGGAGACAAGAGTGCGCTCGTGTGTGTCCCGCCCAGAACACTAAGCCCCCACAAGGGGCGGCGAAGTGCCGCCTCTGGAGACCCAGGGTGGACAGCAGAGAGACACGG